TGCCCCTTTCCTGGTCTCTTGAAACACATCTAACACCTGTCCTTCCCACCCACAATTACTCTGCAGCTGTTAAACACTAATTCTGATACTTAACAACTTTCAAGCTGGTTGCTCCCTTACTGTAAACCTGATACCTTCTCTCTTTCCCTAACCCCTGATTCCTAGTTTTTGGAACCTTTTTGGAGCTCTTGGTTTTAGAACATGTTCATAGGCCTCTTTGGCTTCCCAGATTCAGCTCTAGCTAGGTCCTACAAGATTTTGGAAAGGCTCCACCAGTATAAGTAAAAGTTTCCCTCTGCTAGTTTAACCCTTACAGAATTCAATCTATTAACTGGGATGATGTCTGGCATCTTTCTAAACATGCAAACTCAAATATCAAGGACTCTGGAAAATAAGAGGCTTGGGATGAGGCAACATGGTTACTGGGTCTCTAAGAAAGGATTTAGAATGTAAGTTAAAGGAAGGGAAAGGTAGTAGGAGGAATTGATGGGAAAAAGGGTGCAGTCCCAAGGCAGTTTCTTTCCCCCCTCCTCTATCCTTCCCTGTTACCTTTGAAAGGACACAGGGCCTTCATCTGGTATAAGTTTCTAAGGCAGGAGTCGACCTGCTGCTGGCTACCTATTGTACCAATTTCTCCTCTGCCTCAGAGCAGTTTCTGTCCTCCTCAGCTAACTGTAAACAACACAGGCTTCTTGCTTTCTCCCCCATCCCTGGAATAAGTATTGGCTGTTTTGAGGCTTTCTAAGGGTTACTACTGCTAGTTACAATGGGGAAACAGAGGATAAACATTACTCACTAAAGGCAAATTTTACCAATTCATACAATAATAATTTGAAATGTACATTAAACAGGGCTCTAGAACTTCTCCAGCTTTCTCACCAGGACCCTCAGATTCTATTTCTCTCAAATGGTTCCACACTAATCCACTCTAGCCTTCTTCTACATTTCCTATTTTCCAGGGAGGCCTGGGTCTGAGAATTATATAATTAGACCTCTGAGGTTGCCTTTTCCTTCCCATTTCAACACACAAAAAAGGTAACTTTTTCATTGCTGTTGTCCCGACTCTGCTTTTTATTACATATGTTCTATGATTTAAGATTATGTTATATAATCTTTTGACACTTCATTTTCTTCTTTAAGAAGTGGGTAATGTGCCCAAACTTAAGAATTGTTAAGCACCAATGAGACACTATGAAACACAGCAGACATTAAACAAAACTATAATCTCCACCAGCCATCCTGCTACCACCATACACCCAACCACCAACTGGCACAGATACAAGGTAAAGGTTGGCAAATAGAGTTGAAGAGTAGAGCTGTAGTTCTCTGACCATGCTTTTTTACTGTTTATCTACTCACATATAACAAGTAAGAGCACAGAAAAAAGAAACAAAAATAAAGCTAGGTTATGAGTTCTAAGGTAGAACCAGGATGTTGGAAAAATCTTCGAAACAAGACAATGATAGGAATGTTTTATTGGCTTTTTATTTAAAAAGAAAACAATATTCAACATAATATGCCAACCTTAAAAAATAGCCTTTCTAAATATTTAAGTGTTGTTCTAATCTTGAATCCAAAAGAAAGAAGGTCATTTACGTATTAAGAAATTTAAAAACTGCAACAACAACAAATTCCTTCCAGTTTTTTTTGTGATATTACTAGCTGTGCCTCCTATTTAAAACATTAAGTCTACTTAAGTTCAAACTAGCAAATCATGTATATTGAAATGCTCCTTATAAACAGTCATTTATATCCTATAAAAATAAACTTAACAAATCTGGTGCAGCTTCATACCTTGCAGACACAGCAGACATAGCTCTTCTACCTTTCACATGTAGGGCTCATCTCTCCAGGCAAGATCCTTTTGTGTATTACTGTTTCAAACTAAACCTGAAATAATATCAGCTGGATCTATTTCCCTCACCCCCTTCCAGCTTTCCTGAGTAACAGAAGCAATAAACAGTAAATGAAGCTACTACACAATTTTCCCCTTCTTATTGAGCCAAGCTTCCTTCAGTTAGTTGTTTGTAAGTTGTTCATGGCTAATCTCTAGCATGTTTCTATCCCTTAACAATAGGCATGTTGTTTCCCAACTTGAAAAATTAACATGAACATCCACATTGCCCCAGCAGTTGTCAACTGCAGTCATTTTCTAGGTGGCCAACTGAAGGCCATGCATAGAGCTGCCTTTGTTATGAGAAAAACAGTTTCTCTGAAGTTTATGGTGATACTGAAGTTGGTCTGTACTACACATTCCTCCTGGCTCAAATACATGCAAACGACAGCAAACATTCTTTGAGGAGTGTAGAGGACAAGGAAAAGGGATTAGTCTAGACAATAAGGTAACAGCCTGATCATTTCTTCTGTGTTCTTAGTTTCTACATATGTGGTTTTTGAATTTTACCTAAAATTCTAAAGGAAAGAAATTAGTTTTCAAACTCACGTTCTTTGTTGTCCTTTCTGAATTACTGTAAGACTAATATATGAAGTAGCTTTTCTTTTGACACTTGTTAATTATATTGTAATAAAGTAAAATTCCAAGGCAAATAAAATTGGTTATGGTTAGAAGAATGTTTATATACACTGCTTTGTCAAGTTAAAAAAAAGCAAATAATGGCTATTATTTGATAATTATTCTTGTTTCAAAGAAATAGAGAAACATTGCTTTTTCAGAAGAACAATAGATTGATGTTCTTAATCATCCAATTTCCAAAAATGAAATGGAAGTATTTTAATTAAACTACTGCAGTTTATTGTTTAGGGATATCTTTCCTTTGAAATAAATCTAATTAAGCCAATGAGAAATCATCCAATTCTAGGAACAAGATGCAGAAGTTTACATGTGATCAGCAAGAATAGGTATCAGTGACTAGTCTTCAAACCTTCAATCATGGAAGCTAAAAAGTTATTCCAAAGTACATCTTTCAGAGTACAGATAAATGTCTCTCCTCTAACATAAGAAATTTGACACAGAGTTCAGTAATCTCTCCTATGAGGTATGTGATAGTTTTGATTCCATCCCTTTCTGGCATGCCAACACGGAAAAAACAGGTAGTTGACTAGCAGTGGCTCTCTTAAACATGGAAAGGTTGGTAAGGTGATGGAAAACCAGTCCATTTTTTTTTTTTTGTACATGCATTTGAGATTGCAATGTTTGGGGGAGCACATATCAAGAAAGAAGTTTTCCTTATAAAACATGAGCTCTCTTATACCTTATTCTCACATACCAGATTGCATTAGCAGAATACAGTTTTTTGAAAATGTCTTCATATGTCAAAGTCATGGAAAGAGATTAAGTTCAGGCTCACAAACAGTCTTATTCAAAATGAAAACCTTGGAACTCTACAATAGCAATAAAACAGGCACTAGTCTTCAATGCCTTAAGAGATTTTTTTGTTATTTAAACAATTATATTTCAAGCTTTTGTGGGAAATATAGCCTTGCCAGTGCCTAATGACTGGCTTGAATAGAGGAATTTGTCTGACTTCTAATACAAATAGGTTAATAATGTTATAAGAAAATCACAAAAGTAGTATTGTATGAAGGATTCAAAAAACGTCACTAGCAACTCTCTAAATTCCTTAACCTCTTTGTAAAAGAGCATCAAGTACTGCAAGTACTGTATTTTTAAGAGTTCAGGATTCAACATGAATCTGTTCACTCTATTTACATTATTTCAGGTGACTAACACATGCTTGGCAACATCTGCTCCAGGAGTGAGTCATCTGCCTCCTATAAACTCAAACTGGATTCTGTTAAATCATGCTGATTTATAATAAATGGAAATACTAGTTTCCATTTCTAGTCCATTTTTCTTTAACAAGTGAACTAAATACTCTTGATATTAATTTTTTAATTTGTTTTTGCAGGTAATATATTATTTATCGACCTAATGAATGGTGAATTGGGAATTATCTTTTTAAAAAATGTTTTCATTGGTGCATTATAATTATACATAATAGTAGGATTCATTGTGACATACTCATACATGCATATAACAATTTGATCTATTTACTTCCCCAGTATCTCCCCTTCCCTCCTGCTCCTGACCCCCTTCCTCGGCTCTATTGGTTTCCCTTCTGTTTTTTTTCTATTAATTGGTGCATTATAATTATACATAAAGTGAAATTCATTGTGATACATTTGTACATGTACCTAGCATGATTTGGTCGATTTCATTCCCTAGTACCTCTCCTCTCTTTTTCCTCCTCCTCCCCACACCCCCTTGGTCTCCATCTCCTTCCTCTACTGATCTCCCTTCTATTTTCATCAGATCCTTTTTTTATTCTTTTTTTTTTCTCTCTAGCTTCTGCACACGAGGGCATACATTTGGCCCTTGAGTCTGCCTTATTTATTTCACTTAACATGATGATCTCCAGTTCTAGCCATTTATCAGCAAATAGCATAGTTTTGTTCTTCTTTATAGCTGAGCAAAACTCTTATTTTGTACACATACCACATTTTTTTCATTCATCTTTTTATTTTTTTGGTACTGGGAATTAAATTTGGAAGCACTCGACCACTAAGCCACATCCCCAGCCCCTTTTTGTATTCTATTTAGACAGAGGGACTCACTGAGTTGCTTTGCACCGTGATGTTGCTGAGGTTGGCTTTGGACTCATGATCCTCCTGCCTCGCTTCTCGCTCCAGCTTCACTCATCTTTTGACAGACACTAGTCTGATTCCCTAACTTTATTGCTATAGTAAGCTTACTTTAGTTCTTTTGGATAGATATGAAGGAGTGGAATAGCTGAGTCACATGGTGATTCCATTCCTAGTCTTATTTTAAGGAATCTCAATACTTATTTCCATAGTGGTTATGTTAATTTGCAGTCTCACCAACAGTGTATAAGTATTTCTTTTTCCCTGCATCCTAGTCTGAATTTATTATTATTTGTATTTTTGATGATTGCCATTCTAAGTGGAATGAGAGGAATTCTCAGTGTAGTTTTCATTTGCATTTCCCTTTCTGCTAGGAATGTTGATCATTTTTTATACATAAAAGTATGAAATGCTTTATGAATTTGTATGTCATTCTTGTACAGGGGTCATACTAATCTCTATATTGTACTAATTTTAGAATATATGCTGCTGAAGCAAGCATGGGAATTATCTTTAAGTGAACTTTAAAACTCCCTACTCCCCAAACCCATGCTGGGGATCAAACTTAGGGTCTCAGACATGCCAGGTAAGTGTTATATCACTGATCTTCAACCCAGCAAATTGTAAAATTTTACATTAAGTGAATAATTTGGCAGCATTGCTAATACTTTAGATGAATCACAGACTATGAAATTTTTAAGCTGGAAAAAACTCTAGTGATTAATTATGGAAACTAGATTCATTTCCTGGGATGCTCCTTTAAATTGAAAGGAAACTTATTTGAAGGGGTAGACCTAGGAATATAAAACAGAAAATAGTCCAATTCCGGAAACAACAACAGAGGCCAACACTACTAAAAAGAGAATGTAGCTTAATCTTTTTTGCATTTAACCAAAAGAAAATGAACAATGAGGCATACTGATTTAGGGAAGAGAGGAAAAGAAGAAAACTGGGGGAAACGCAGAACTGTCTTTAAGAAAAAAAAAATTCAAGGTATCTAACCTAGTCTTTCCTAGCTTAGTTTTATTTATTTATTTATTTTTAAAATTTATTTATTTTTTTAGTTTCGGCAGACACAATATCTTTGTTTGTACGTGGTGCTGAGGATTGAACCCGGGCCACACGCATGCCAGGCGAGCGCGCTACCGCTTGAGCCACATCCCCAGCCCCCTAGCTTAGTTTTAAATTAAAAAATCAAGGTGATGTATATTAAATGTCAAATGAATAACTAGATCCCCATTGTCCAATACGGTAGCTACTAACCACAAATGACTACAGAGCATTTTAAATGTGGCTAGTTCAATTCAAAGACTTAGTACTAAAAAAGAGAATATAAAAATATTTCATTTAATTTTTATATTGCTTACACATTGAAGTAGTTTTCATATTTTATTTTATTTTTTAAAATATTTATTTATTTATTTTAGTTTTAGGTGGACACAATATCTTTATTATTTTTATGTGGTGTTGAGGATCGAACCCAGCGCCCCGCACATGCCAGGTGAGTGCACTACCACTTGAGCCACATCCCCAGCCCTAGTTTTCATATTTTAGATTAAAAATATCATTTAAATTACTTTCATCTGTTTCTTTTTACCTTCTAAATGTGGCCACTAGAATACTTAAAATTATGTGGCCTGTATTATATTTCTACTGGATAAAATAGACAAGGCAATTAGTTCTATGAAGTTAAAAGAATCATATTGCGCAATATGATATCAAGAAAGTTTCATAAAGGTAAGACTTCACAAAGATATACAGATTTGAATGAAAGGATTCAGAAAAGGAGAGGAAAGTGCATTCCATGCTAGACGAACCAAATTTTATAATCAGAATAGGAGATCTCTCAGACTTACTAGATGAGGGAATGTTCTCAAAGAAAATCTACATGTTATGTCAAAGAGTATTTCGTATTTACAAATCAGAATCAATCCTGAAGACATACTTGGTCCCACTCTGTCTACAGAGTCAGCAAAAATCAGGCCAATACAATATGGCAGCAAAGTGTCAAAATTTACAATATACAAAAAGAAATTTGATTGGTTTTGTTCAATGTTCTATCATCCACAACTTTAAGAGGCCAGGCATGTGACATATATCTAAAGTAAACATTTCATGAGTGAATGACTAGGTGAGCAAATTAACTACAGAAAGTGGTGGTGCTTTCCAGGAAAAAATGTAAAGCAGGAACACAGGGAAGACAAGGCAGTGAAGAGGGAGTGTGTGTTAAGGAAGGAGCAAACACCCATATACATTATATTAGCACCAGCCAAAGCACAGTAAGGCTTATTTTTTATATGGCTCAGGGAAATGAGGTGAAAAGGTTACAGCATGAAACCAACTGTTCTTCCAAACCTGCATAATTTTGGATTGCTTGAAGGCTTGAAGCAAAGAACTAAATAAACTTTCCTCAGCATTCATTCTGTGATTTGGCTCCAAGAAAAAGCAGACAAGGCCATACCCACATGGGTAGGATTAGTTCCTCTATTCTAGGGTCACACACAAGCAGCAGCAGCACCCTCCCTGTGGACTATGGATTAGTTTTTCTTATAGAGGAGGAGAGAGGATACTTTTTTCCTCTCCTGGTCTTCGGCCCTGCCTCTTCCTAAAGTATCTATAAACACAGTATCCATGTATAATCTTAAAAAATGTTACATAATATAATTTTCTAGGGACTTTTAAATTTTTTAAGTGCAAATTACTAGCCAGGTGTAGTGGCACAGGCCTGAAATCCCAACTATCTGGAGGCTGAGGGAGGAGGAGCACAATTTTGAGGCCAGCCAGGGCAACCTAAGACCCTCAAAATAATATAAATAGGGTTAGAGATGCAGCTCAATGGTAGAGAATTTGTGTAGCATATATGAGGTCCTGGGTTCAATCTTCAGTATGAGACGAAGGGTTGGGGGGAAGAGGCAGGGAGAGAAATTTCTGTTTAAAAGTTATCTAACATTAAAGCTACATGACAGTGTAATACTTTAGGTAAACAGAATAGTTACCATTGTTCTGCTATATTTTTAAAACCATGCTGTGTGTTTGTACACAAGACTACTTAAAATTTTCAAGAAGAGCAGACTATTTTAACATTCACAATTACAATTTTAAAATACTTTTGTATCATATAACAATATCATCCAATCTTTTATTAAGTGGGCATGCTTATGCTAATACTGAGTAAGATGTGATATGTCAATTTAAGAAAGAACATTGTAATATTAGAGATAATAATAATAGCAGTTAATACTTTTTGAGTGTCAGATACTTCTAAATGATGTATGTGCATTACTTCTTTTAATATTTAGCTTGTAACAGATCTTTGAAAAAAGTATTTTTATTATCCCCCATCTATAGATGAGAAAAAAGGCTCAAAAAGGTAAGTTACTTGCTCAGGAACACACAGCTAATAAAATAAGAGCTTGGATTTGTACACACACAGGTTGACACCACAGACTTCCCTGTTAACAGTTATGCTGTACTGTGTTTCCAATGCTCAGAGAATGAGAAGCAACATTAAAGAAAAAATAAAGGGTTGAGTATTTATGAGCTCCCAGAACATATGTGTATCTTTGACCTTACCCATACACCTATGGGAAAATTAGTCTTACATTATGTTAAAGAACTGAAAAAATGAGAAAGAATGTTACAGCTACTTAGATGCTTATTAAAGACTTTCAGAGGTTTTAAAGACTGAAATGGTTGTTAAAAATATTTGTGTCCAGGGTTGGGGTGGTGGCTCAGTGGCAGAGCGCTTGCCTAGCATGTGTGAGGGGTTCGATCCTCAGCACCACGTATCGATAAATAAAATAAAGGTCCATTGGCAACTAAAAAAATTAAAAAAAAAAAAAGAATTTGTATCCAAATAAAGATATGATTTCAATATAGTAATATAAAATGGTAATCTGAAAATATATAAAATCCCAAATGTATACCAATGATAGGAAGAAATGTTTCAAAACTATAGATATAACAGGGAGAAAATAGAAGATATTATTTATGATTGATATAAATAATCAGAAAATTTCAGGTAAAAAAATCTTTATAAAGAATTTTAAAGCTTAATATCAAAATGTAAAATAATGGATTCCTTTCAAATCACATAAGAAATATTTAAAATGTAAAATTAGAGGGTTAGGGATATTCCTCAGCATTGGAGTTTGCTTAGCATATGCAAGGTCCTGAGTTAATCCCCAGCACCATGGACGGGGTGGGGGGGGATTTTTTTTCAATTAGAAAAAAATCAAAAAATCAAAAAAAAAAATTTAAAAAAATAGCAAGAAAACCTTTTTAAAAATTACAGATTACCAGCTATATAGTAAATATGCTTTATTAAATTCACCCATTTAAAAATCTTTTGGATATGATTTTAGGTGTCCACAAAAGACATACTTAAATAGATTTAGAAAGCTTAAGAGGAAAGGACAAAAAGAAAATAGGGATTACAGCCAAGTACAATCTAAGAGTTGTAAAAACATCACATGAAAAAGAGGATAAAATTTTTTTACAATCCGTAACACAATTCATACAACTTTATGTACTCAGTGCTAAAATACGTATAAGGTAAAAAACTTTAAAATGCAAAAGGAAATGAACATCAAGTACAGAAGTATAGGAAGACTTCTCTGGACATGACATTATAGATAAAAATGTAAAGTTAAAGGTTGCCTGGTGTAAAATAATATATGCCTTATCTATGATAAGCAACTAAGACTTAAAAGCAAAAGTCAAATGATTTTTAAATATTTTTAAGAATGTTCTTTTGCATAGTGTGCAAAGGGTGAAAGGACTGAACTACAAAGACTTTCTTCCTGACTGAATGGCAATCATAATCCCAAGGCCCAGGGAAGTCTAACAATTAAGTGCATTTCTAGGAAAGACTACCTTCAGAAATGCTGGTTCCTGTTTGTATATGCCCTCTTTATCAAGTGCTTTCAAATTCATATCACTTTCAATACTACAATAAATAGGAAGGGATAGTGACACTGAGGTGAGAATAAAATAGAAACTCTTGGAAGCAAAAAAGGAAGATGACTCGAGGAGGGAAATTCCAGTTGCTCTAATAGGATGGCTGGTGGATAAAATGCTCTTTATATACCAATTAAGAACTACCTTTTAGGTTTAGTGTTTCTAATCCCTCCAAGAGTTCCAAAGGTGAAGCCGAACAGCAGCGGCAACAAAGAAACAGAATGAATGTGAAGGGCATGGCTATCCTCTTGGCTGTGATAGTCTGTGCTACGATTACTGAAGGTATATGATACTTTTTGCTTCAGTCTATAAACTCCTTTTGTAATGTTTCAATGTCTTTTCTTTCACTTTTATCCTAAAATACATGCTAAATTTTTACTAAATCTCATATATTAGAAGTTACTTAATAGCTTTGACAGAAAATGTTGGAAATGTTTAAGGCATTAGAGATGACTCTTAAATCTAGAGATGATAAACTTCATGGGATTTTTTTTTTTTGGCTACAATATCTGACAAGATGCTTGAAAAATAGCTTTAAATGTTTGTAAAGAATACTTTAAGTGGTATTATGTTAACTTCTTGGAAAAATTCTTAAGTATAAAAGCAACAGACAAATAAGCTTCTTTTAATAAAAATCTTTCATATTCCTATAATAATTACTACTACTACTACTACTACTACTACTACTACTACTTCTTTTTTGGTGCTGGGGATTGAAGGTAGGGCCTTGTGCATGTGAGGCAAGCACTCTACAAACTGAGCTATATCCCCAGCCCTGTCCTATTATTTTTAATGACTTTTTTACAAATTTCAAAAGAAAATCATCAACATCTTACTTAACTCCTTTACCAATAACATTGGTATCAAGGGCTATTTGACAGATCACTACAAACTACAATCTTTATCTTTTATGAAAACTCTTCTCACATTCACCACCAGGATAATAACTATATGTTGCAATCATATTACTAATCAATATTCTGATCTGTCCTAGGCTTTCCTATGTTCAAAGGGGGACGCTGTCTTTGTATAGGCCCCGGAGTAAAAGCAGTGAAATTTACAGATATTGAGAAAGCCTCTGTCATCTACCCAAGTAACAGCTGTAACAAAATTGAAGTGATGTAAGTAATGTACTTTCTGAAGAGGACAATTGTGGAACTTTTTTGTTTTATTTATTTTCCCATGTGAAGTTTAAGACTCACTTTTATCTTCCCTTAACAGTATTACCTTGAAAGCACATAAAGGACAACGATGTCTGAATCCCAGATCAAAGCAAGCAAGCTTTATAATCAAGGTAAATTTCTTGTTACTCCCATGTTAGAATCTATTTTATTCAGGAAAGAGCTTCTGAGAAAAGAAAGCAGAAAGATTCTGCTATAATTTCATGTGAAATATTCTATTAAAGTGGGCCTTGGTTATGATAGCATCCCTTTCCTGATGTTATGTTTTTTATGTATTCCCAAGGAAATGAGAACAGTCTAGTAAATAAAGCTCTCATTTTCTCATTACAGCAAGTTGAAAGAAAGAATTTTTTAAAATATCGAAACAAATGAAGTTCTGGAAAAGAGGATTTGAAAATCTAGAACAAGTTTTATTTTGGCTACTGACATATGAATTCTGCAATAGAAAACTGACTTCCTCTTGCCTAATCACATTGTTGCAATACACATTCATGTATCTCAGGTTAAAGAACATTTGAGAAATTTGATTCTTGTGACTATTTTGCTGTGATTGTAAAAACAATTCTATTTCTAAAAGTCAGCTGTGTGTACTTGAGCTATATTTCATATTACTAACTCTGGTTATAATTGAGACATTAATTACTGGAGACAAACCCTTGAATCAAAAGCATCCATGTGTGTAATAAAACATTCCTGAAATAATTTTTCATACAACTTACACATTCTTTCCCCATGTAACACATAAGTATCTAGGGAAAAACTTCTTATGTATTATGTATTTCAAGAAATGTACCATAAATAAAATTTTGAGCTACAGGAAACTGGCTAGCACACAAATATAATTATTAGCAGCATTGGTCTTTGATTTTTTTTCAACTTTTTTTCAGAGATGTTTTAAAGCAAAGAGAATATGTGGGTTTAGTGTACATTTGGGTTTTAAATTTGTTATAAAGAACAGCAAAATCTTGGGACACATTTTAGATATAAAATGTTTTTGCCCACCAAAGTAAAATGCTGAAAAATAAATAAATATATGCATATCTGGCAATCATATTTACTTTCTGTGACTTTATTTCTTAGAAAAATATACATTCATTTCTTTAATCATGCTTATACTATAAAATTTAGGGATACCTAAAATTGCTTTTCTCTGAAAAGAAACAAAGTCATCTTTCTCTAATAAGCTATCACAACTCTTTTTAAAACTGAAAAAATCATATACTTTCCAGAACACTTGAGATATCTTTAGCAGTTTTACCTTATATTTCAGTAGCACACAGCTATTTATCATCATGAAGAATTGTTTAGAAATACATTCTAATGGGTATCTGTAAAGGGAGGCTATTTGATTTTACTTCGAGTGTGGTTTTTCCTAGACCAAAACCCACTACTCACTTGGGGCAGATTCCTTATTAGGTGAGTATTGGTGAGAGGCTAAAAGGAAGAAGCCAAAGGGAAGAGATCTCCCCTTCAACCAGAACAAAGACTCAACCAAGCTTGTATACTTTAAACTCCAGCTAGCCCCACGAAAAATATTACCAGTAAGAAAATCATTAAAAGCAGCAGCAGTAGCAAAAGTCATATGGTAGTGTCTTCCTTTAGCATGACTTTGACTAGTCCTTCCTGCTACCTAGCTCCCTTACTTAGGTCCTTGGTTCATTTTCCAAGCCTGATTCTCCAATCTTTCTGTGGTTTCTTCAACAACCAATTAAATTCCTTTTCTCCTTAATCTAGCCAAAATCCTTGACTGATAAAGCCTTCTTTATAGTAATCTCCACATCTGAAAAATGAATTGTTTGTTATAGAATCACAATTAGATATATCTCTATATAGTTATGCAATATGTTTATATTAAATAATTTCTACATAGAAATGGAACTTCTATATAAATTCCTTGGAAAGTTTTCAGATCAGAATCTAATCTTTGTCTATGTACAGTGGTTTTTAAAAAAATATGGTTAAAAGTTATGGTTTTAATTTTACTAAGTTAAGGCTGCATGACTCATTCTGTTTTTGTTTCTGAGGTTCTGGGATTGAATCCATATTCTTGCACATTAGGCAAGTGCTCTACCAGTGTTATACCTCATGTCCTTTTTATTTATTTTTTAATACATCATTTCCCTAAGTTGTCCAGGCTGACCTCAAACTCACAATCCTTCTGCCTCAACCTCCCATGTACTGGAATTGCAGGCCTATGCCTCCTTGCTTGCTAAGTGTGCTAGCTTAAAAAAATAAGATTATATATCATAGGCCAGTAAATTATTATTGAGAAGATAGCACATACCTATACTTCTTCATAGAAAAATAAATATATGAATAAATAACAGTCCAGGCAAGGTTCCTCTCATCTCAGTACCTTTGAAAACATTATTCTCTCTGCCCACTTTTCACTTAAATCTCAGCCTAAATGACATTTTCTCCAAGAAGCCTAAGAAACCACCTCTTCAATCCCAACTAGATTAGGTGTTCTATTTATTTGTTTTCATAACATTCTTTACTTTTCGTCACATTATTTATTGCAATTGTAACAAAAGAATTATTTCTCTGTTTAGTATCTGTTCTTCCCACAAGGGCAAGTTCAATATGAAAGCCACTGTAGTTCTTCTACTACACAGTACAATGCCTAGCACATATCAGACCCTATTGAATGGTAATGGAAACTAAGGGAAAAGGAACTTACAGCCCAGAATGGTATGAAGGAATACACAGTGGTAAGAAAGTACAAGGTGATTTTCTGGAAGAGTAACTAGATTCATTTGGTTGGAGTGAAGGATAAGGAGTATCATGTCTAGCTAAACAACCTTTCCCTTTTATTCTGCACAAAATGGGGATTCATTAAATATTCACCAATGAGAGAATAACCCTATTCCAAGTTATTCTAAATTATTCTAGGAATGACAAAAAGGGCTGATTGAAGTAGGAACAAATGAGGAAGGGAAAATGAGTTGGGAATATGTTGCAATTGCTCAGGTCTTTATTTCCAAATTTCAAGTCTTTCTCATACCATCTTTAAGATTCTTTACTATGTCTCTGTTCAATCTTCATAATATTTTTTCAAATTGTGTACCTCTTTATTTCATTTACATTTACAGGAAAAGCAAAATTTCACTGCTATCCATGTGAAATCAATATTAATGCTATAGAAATAAAATAACACAAAGTATAGAAAAAAATACCAAATTCTAATTAGATAGCTTTGTATGTCAAAGGTTCTGAACTTAAGCCTGTATTTATTAAAAAGGAGATGAAAACAGTTAGCAAAGTGTTTGAAAACCATGCTAATACCATACTGATTTACTCAAAGGGACTGAAGTTAAAGAAAGTAATTAATTGCTATCAAATGTCATTATCAATGAGCCACCTGGTATTGTCCCATATGTTGGGAGAAACACATGAAAAGTAATAAGGACATTATGCAGTGAATTAGACTGAACTGCTACATGAACCAGCAATTCCACTCCTTTGCATATATCTAAAGGTTTAAAAAAAAAAAACAAAAACACTTGTACACTAATGTTCATAGCAGCACTAAGCAACAGCCAAAAGATAGAATCAACCCAAATAGCCATCAACAGATGAATGGAAAACCAAAATGTGAAATATACACACAATGGAATATTTTTCAGTGATAAAAAGAAATGAAGTTCTAATAAGTCCTACAACATGGATGAATCTTAAAAAGCATTATGCTGAGTGAAAGAAACCAGACACGAAAAACCATAGTTTGTTTTTGCAGTTCTGGGGATCAAACAGGGCCTCACACAAGTCAGCAAGCGTTCTATCTACCACTGAGCTAAGCTCCTAACAAGATCATATATTATATGATACCATTTTATATTAAATATCTAGAATAGGAAAATCTTTAAAAATTAGGCAGTAGATCAGGGGCTGGCAGGGGCTCTGGGGAGGGTTTAATGGGTAATGACTGCTAAATAGACACAGGTTTCTGTTTGAGGTGATAAAACAGATTATCACTAAATTATGGCACTAGATTATGGTGATAGTTACACAACACTGACAATGTACTTAATTCCACTAGTAGTATACTTTTAAAGGGCTAAAAAGGAAATTTTATGTTAGGAGTATATTACCACAGTAAAAAATAGGGCTAACCTAAGGTAGTAATGGTGAAAAAATAAATGAAAATACACTGTATTTGCAAAACTAAAACAAAGTGACTTTTCAAACTTTTTTGTTGAAAAATATAGCTATTTTTCATAAAAGTATGCTATCTGTGTTAATATGCAATGGGCTTCTCTACTTTGCCTTTGAGATACAAAAACAGCTTTCTATTGAACATTTTTGACATCCCCTTATTAATTCCTTTAATCTTGCCTAGGCCTCTAAGTAAAATCTTTAAAATCATTTCAAAATCACAAGTACAAGTATCCTCTGTTTCCTTTCAAATCTGATACATACTCCTGTTGATACTGGTCAGGCCGACTGAGCAAGAAAAAGGGCATCATCCAAAAAGAATGCTTTTCATTGCCAGAGAGATGGCTATATTTCTGAAATTCTGGCCAGTGAAAAATTCGTTAAACTTTTTTTTAAAAAAACCTTCTTAATCTACTATCACCTTTAAAATAACCTGAAAGGTAGATGGATTCGTATTAAAATGTTCACTTGAAGATTCAAAACAAAATATAAATACCCTGAAACGCATACAGATCTAATTTGTCCAAGATCAGAGAACAAGTGAAAGATAGAACTACATACTACATTCCTAGACCATCTCCTTCATCCCATCAAGTGTGATGAAGGTTAAAACTTTGCATGGTCTAAAACGTATCTGAACAGAAACTATTCTCAGCCCTTCCAAGTATGATGATTATAAAGATCTAGCTATTCACTTTCACACATACTCACTGTGTCTGTGCTCTCTGCTCAAGTTGTGCAGGTTGAGACACATGATAATTCAAAATATAAACCAACATTACTAGATACTGAGCAGCTAAGGGAATGTTTTGAGAGCTCAAAGTCAAAACTATCAAGTTCTCCTTTGCCCTCTTCTCCCATATTTACCAGAGTACCCTATCCCAGCTGAGGGAATTTCCAGCCTAATAAAGTTCTTCTTTCTGCTCACTTTTTAGGAAATTTCTTCTAAGCATAGTAGTTTCTCAGAAAGCTCTCCCCACCAACCCCATCTATCCTAACAAGCCTGTCAGGGCAGACTATTTTTTGTTTTGCTTTGTTTGGGGCCTGATGTCATAATCAGAGGCTTAAGATAAACGACAGTTGAAACTGAAACTGAAATGAGGTATTTCCTTAACTCTCATTTTCTTTCAAAACTAGACTAGGATCAGTGAATACTAGGAAAGTGAATCTGCCAAAAGCCTTGCAAGAATTGATAGAAAAATAAATTTTAAAAGATCTATCATTAAGATTTTTATTCAAATGATCCATGCAAGGGCTGGTTGTAGGTAGAATAAGTAATAGTAGCTAATGTCTATGATCATATTTATAGGATTTCTCTCCCAAGCAGACCCCCCATTCAAAACAAGAAGAAAAGGATCTTTTGTTTTGATTCTATTCTCACCAGGCAATGTATTGATTGCTAGTTCAACTTCCAGGGACTTTGATCCTAGAAAAGGATAATCTAGATACTAGAATCAACTATGAGTAGGAACATACTCATTACAAACTAGTGAAGTGCCTTTAATTTGCATTTAGTCTCTTATAGTTTTAATTTACATAAGTAACTCTCTGAAAACATACTTAACTCTGGATTAGGAAAAACAGGCATTTCTGAACCTGTAAAAATGAAGACCGAATCCTGACAAGGTAATGCCATACCAATTAAACTCTATTAACCTTCCTGACTGCTTGGCTGACTTTGTTCTACACTATTTTTTGTGCCATTTCTGTTATTGTGTATGCTTTTCTCTCCTGGCCACTTGTCTTAAGTTTGAGGCTCATCTCACGCTTTTTTGTTTGCTTTTTCTGAATACTAGATCTTCTAAGCACTTTTGGCATAAATCAGTACACTTTCCTCTGTGCCAGGTATGGTGGCACATGCCTATAATCCTAGCTATTTGGAAGACTGAAGCAAGAGGATGGAAGGTTCAAGGCCAGCCTGGGCAACCTTGTCTCAAAATAAAATAAAAAGGTCTGGGAATGTAGTTCTGTAGTATAATGTCCCTGGGTTAGGGACCTAATAAAAATCTCTTTTCTCCAAATTTTTGCCAGCATTTGTTATTTCCTGAATTTTTGATAATGACATTCTAACTGAGATGAGATGATATTTCATTGTGATTTTGGATTTGCATTTCTCCGGAGATGAATGAAATTGAGCTTTTTTTCATGTATTTTTTGGCCATTGTATGCCTTATTTTGAAGAGTATTTGCTTAATGCTTTAGCCCATTTTTAAACTGGATTGTTTGATTTATTTTGGTGTTCAGCTTTTTTGAGTTCCTTATATATTTTGGATTTTAATTATTTGTTGGATGTACCATTTGCTAATATTTTCTTCCATTCTGTAGGCTCTTAATTCTATTGACTTCTTTGCTGTATAGAAGGTTCTTAGTTTGATATAATCCCATTTGTCTATTTTTACTTTTGTTGTCTGTACTTTTGAGGTCCTATCCAAAAAAAATCATTGTCTAACCAACTGTCTTAAAGTGTTTCTCCTATTTTCTTATAGTAATTTCATGTTTAAGATTTAGGTCTTTGGTCCATTTTAATTTGATTTTTTTTTTTTTGTAGTTGGACACAACACCTTTATTTCACTTGTTTATTTTTGGATGTGGTGCTGAGGATCGAACTTAGGGTCTCCAGGTGTGATGCGAGTGCTCTACCGCTGAGCCACAACCCCAGCCCTTGAGTTGATTTTTGTGTATGGTAAGAGGAAGGGATCTAGTTTCATTCTTTTCCATATGCATATCCAGTTTTGCCAGTACTGCTTATTAAAGACACTGTTTTTTTCTCCACTGTATAATAGGTGTTTAATTCCTGAAGCACCAAAATAATCTCAAAAATTATTCCAGCTAATTAAACTGAAGCAATTGAAATCAGAAATCCAAATTAAAAACAATATTTTCTCTCCAGAAGATACATTAAAAAGTGGCTGAGAACATGGAGCCAGAGTTACTTATTACAAAGATTAAATGAGTCAATATTCATAAAGCTTTTCAAAAAATGCCTAATTCCATTTATGCTATGTTTAAAAATCAATTCAATGGAATGAAATCAACCAACAATTAACCTTATAATTATAATGTCCCAATAAAAAATAAGATAGCAAATAAAATTTCAATAAGAAATATCTGCTCCTTAAGAAAATATTTTTAGTTCACTTATCAACTTTCTGCCTCAAATATCCTTTTACTTTGTTATTAGACAGCATCTAGGCTGAGAACTTAGATGCTATCAAAAGTGAAAATATTTCCATATATCTTTTTAATTGTTTAATGTCTAAATGTTCAGAACCTCTTCCATTCGTGCTGTCAGGGATATCTCTGAAATGACATTCTTACTCACAGTCCAATTTTTATTCTGCACACAGGTACAGGAAGACCCTGCCATGTCTCTATCTTTCCTAAGCTTTTCTCTCATCAGAAGCAAATCCATTTTGCTAGATGAAAATCTAGGTTCTGTGGACCCCTGCCTCATTGCTCTTCCTTTTGCCCTTCCAGTTTATCACAGCAAAACCCACTGACTTAACTATTTATAAGTTTAGTTCTGTTCTAGTCCCTGAATTAACCTAGTATTTAGCGCTCTAGCATTTCCACCTGCTTCAAATGGCAGCCCACTCCCTATTCTGATGATGTACTTCCTACATTTGAGGTTCCAAGTGTCATGTGTGCCCAGTTTGTAGATATGGGCTTCCTTCTCAGCATCTGATGCCAAGTTTTGTACCAGTTTCTGTCAGGTACACTGACCTGATCTAGAATGGAATCAATGCTATTTCATAGCCTATCCCTAAAATGTTGTATCCTACTTGACTATGAAAGACTACCCATATATTTTTCTAGATTTTCAGTATCAACTGCCTCACTACTGCAGGGTGATGCCTGCATTTGACAGATACCTGGTTGCCACTTGCAAAAAAACCCACACCCACGATATCCTTCAGATACTATTAAATTTCAACTGTCAGGTCTATCATGTGTTCCACTATATGGCTATCACATGCTTTGTATTATTGTCATTTACTGTAATAACCATCAGGTACTACTGAATGCTAAGAAACCCGAATTTTATCTCTATTTTTATCCAGCTGAAACTGTGCTAATTTCAGTTATCATTGTTATCAGCTCAATGGCTGACATGTTTTTTTCCGTTTTCTTTGAAGTTGTCTCCTGGAGCTGAATCCTGTATTAAATTGATTTATTTCCCTCCTGTCTCAAGCTGTTTTCCCAAGGTCTGTTTCTAATCATACTCCATTTTCAATTTATTTCCTCATAGCTATAATAACACTATTATAGCTATGAATCCTTTCCTCACACCATTCTAGATACCATCTTATGATATTTTCATTCAGGGACTGACTCTGAAAAAATGAAACTTGTTTTAACACACCAGAAATCAGATATCCAAATGACTAGAGTTTCTCTCAAAATATTTACATTGGAGGTTATTCATTTATTCTGATGATATTATAAATGGCCAAAGTATTTATGGAATTCTTTGAAATTTACCAATTCCATATCTTTTACCTTGTCCAAGACCAACTTTTTAGTACTTGATCAAAGGGCACAGCTCAGCTAAATCACCTGTCATCAGATACAACTTGCTATTACCCAAAATTAACTCACCTACAAAAGATGAAAAACTGCTATTAATGAGAAGTAAGAGACTATTAAAATATACTTCACAAAAATTTAAAATAAATACTGGAAAAATGTACCAGTTACAATACAATAAATGGACAGCAACCAGTTTGTAACCTAATACAAACATCAAACCTCTCAAGAGTCTTCTTCCATTTGTGAAATGAAAATAACTTTACTACCTTCTTTACAGGGTAACTATAAGAGAAAATGGCAACGTATAATGCTTCTGAAACCTGTAACAGTAAATAACGGAAAATATTCCCATTCATGCCTATGGAGTCAAATTAAGATGGACACAGTGTTGGAGAATGCAGACAATCCTCTCTCCCTCTTTCCCTAACTCCCTCCTCCCTCCCTTCCTCCTCATGGAATCTCTGCCCTGCTCAGTCTCTAAAGGAACTGTGGTTTCCTGCCCTCAGCATTAATGGTTTCTTTTACTACTGCCCGGAGGATTTCCTGACTTAGATGCCTCTGTCAACGTAACATATAGGAAAAATATTAAAAAAGAATGATGCAAAACACATTAAGGCCTACTTACTTAAAAATTGTACTTAGGACTTTGACTTAAAGATTAATTTGATATTTTACAGGAGGCAAATGTGAGAATTAAATGTCCATTAAAAAAAACTATTTCTGTATGCAATAAAGATCTGATTTTCAAGAAACAGTTATATTTTGGAAAGTGAAACCTAACTCACTGAAAAGAAAGGACAGGGGGAAATTCCATAACTCAGAGGCTATAATAAATACAAATAATTCCTTTGATTTTGCAACAGGGGACTTCCCCAAAGACTAGCCAGCAGATTTTGCTGAGTCAATTGTTATCCAATCAGAGTTAGGGAGGAAAAATGCCTTTGCATATAAATACTGCACACCAGCTCCACATTTTAAGAGACACTCCTCAACTGCTTAAACTTTCTGAGCCTACTACAGAGGAACCTCTGGTCTCTGCACCATGAACCAAAGTGCTGTTTTTATTTTCTGCCTCATCTTTCTTACTCTCAGTGGAACTCAAGGTAAGAAATATTAAGGAATATTTCATTTATGAAATCAAAAAGCAGGACTGGGTATAAATTCTATATACAATATAGAAATAGTATATTTTCAAGATTCAGTGTGTCTATAAAAATGAGAGGGCAATAAGCAGAGATTACTACCTCTGGTCACAGTTTATATGACTGAAGTAAAAGAAACAAGTAGAATTTAAAAAAAGAGGGATAGAGGAAGTGAAGGAAAAGATAAAAAAAAAGGGAGAAGCTGGTGGAGGTAGCGCATGCCTGTAATTCCAGCCACTCAGGAGGCTGAGGCAAGAGGATCTCAAATTCAAATACAGCCTTAGCAACTCAGCGAGACCCTGTCTCATTATAAAATATATAAAAAGGGCTGGGAATGTGGCTTGGTGGTTAAGCATCCCTGGATTCAATCCCTGGTACAAAAAAAAGGAGGATTGAAAAAAATGTGAGGAAATGAGGAGAGGATAAGACCCAGATACTCCTTACCTAGCTAAGCTTGCTCCATTACATGAACTGTGCCCAAGGGTGACTTTATAATCAACAAGTTACAATTCCCCTCTTCAAGATAATCAGCTATTATATCATTTAGAGCTGTGTTACAATAGGAAACGTTCCCCCTCAGATTAAGTGACTATATAACAATATAGGGATAGGATTCCACTAAATACTACCAATCCACATGTCTTATGAGACCTGTACTAATTTTCCCTGCCATCTTGTCGCTCTTCCTGCAGGAATGCCGCTCTCAAGAACAACACGCTGCAAGTGCATCCAGATTAGTAATCGACCTGTTAATCCAAAATCATTAGAAAAACTTGAACTTATTCCTGCAAGTGAATCTTGTCCACGTGTTGAGATCATGTGAGTAAAATTCCATCTGAGGGTCACCTCCCTGGTTGTAAAGTATTTTAAACATGTGATGATTATCACAAAAGATCAGTAAAGGGTTTGTGATGAACACTATTGTATAGAAGAGGAAAATATCTACAGTGAAACTTAGATGTCTGACTTTGGAACTGTGTATTCCATCTACTTTGTAGCCTCAACATTGTTTTAAATATTTTTACTCCTACTTACTTCTACAGTGCCACAATGAAAAAGAGCGGGGAGAAGAGATGTCTGAATCCAGAATCTAAAGCCATCAAGAATTTACTGAAAGCACTTAGGATAGAAAGGTAGGTTTGTTGTTGCTTGCAGAACAACTGCTCTTTAGGGAATGGAAATCCTAGGAAGTTAGCCACATTTGCATTGGGCTTTACTGTGCGACCCTTGGATTAAACATATGTTACTATCATGCCTTTTTCTACCTGCATTTACTCAGACGTGAAGCTCATGCTTTACCTGAGGATCTTTGGGTTATGTATATACTCAGTGTATTTTAAGCAGAACCCAGACTAATTCCAGAGTCTATACAACTTTCATATTCCTTTTCTCTTCTTACAGGTCTAAAAGATCATCTTGAAATCAGAGATAAGCAAAATCACTGCAGTGCTGAGAAAGATGGACCACAAAGAAGATATTTCTATTACTTCCTCACAGAGAGTATATGTTGAATTCTAACTGTTCCTAGTTTGTAGTTCTCCTGAAAAGTGAACCAACGACAGTCATCAAATTAGCTGCTATACCTCCTGTGGTTTATTATCCTGAGCTGTAATTTCTCTAGTAGTAAGAATTACTAGCTATATTGCTAATAGCTAGTAATAGCTCTAATAACTAATAATGACTCTGTCCTGGCACTACACTATAAGCTATGTTGAGGTGCTACCTTCCTAGCAAATGTGCCAAGTCCTAGCCTGCTACTGACACTTTCCTCACCTATCCTATCTGCTAAGGGTTATTAAGGGATCCTTTTTACTTCTGGATTTATCAAAATATTAAATAACTAAAGGTATGCAACCAAAGGTATAAAATCTGCTTATTAATGAATAATCTTTACTTCGTGGGTTTTTATTGCCATCCCCCCCAGGAATTCATATTTTTTCAGTGGTTACATACACATAATTCCAAATACCTACAGGAAGTTGGATATGTCTGGAAATTATGTGTAAATATTGTTATTTAATGAAAGACTGTAAAAGGAGTTCTTAGAGATATATTTTTATATTGTTTTCAATGTATATGAAATAATATAATTTGTATAATAAAATATTACAGACCAATGAGTTAGTAGGGAAATTTTAAAATCTAGGTATATGCTTTGCATGTTATATAAGACAAATGTATTGAATGGTTTTCAAAACAAAAATGATGTGCTGTCCTGGAAATATTAAAAAAGACTGCATAACTGTTGTAAGACCATAAAGGTAATAAAGTAATTATCACTAAGATGAAGTGTCTTGTGGGTCTCTGACTGGAACATTTATTTCATAAGGAGCTTATATTGGAAAATCCATGGCTTGGAGAAGCTGGGATGAGTAGAAGACAAACGTGTTGGAGAATTACCACACTCTCTCCAACTTTAGTCTCCTGAAAGGCCCACTATATAAGATTCCTATATAAGCAATGTAGTATGAGAGAACTTGGACTGTTTCAGACCACTATAACCAAGTTTCTATGCGACAACTCCCTCTGAACATTCTATAGGGACTTCAAAGTACTAAATATTGCAAATTTATTCTCTCTTAGATCTGTTTCTTCTACTCTATTCTAATGTCCTAGTTGAAAACTGCACATCATCCACACAGTTCCCAAACCAGAAACAGAAATACTTCTATACTACTACTACTACTCCCTCACTTCCCACATCCAATTAGTTACTAAAAAGATATCTGCAACAGATTCAGTTGAGAAATTATTAGTGTCTAAGCTATATAAAGATTCCTATGGATAAAAAGGGAAAAACAAGTTGAGAAGTGAAAAACAAAAGTGAATTGGAATTTCACAAAAAGAAAAAAAAAA